TACTGCTCTTCATTGTGTTCCGTAGAAGCTGTTCTGCCAGGGAGAATTAATGAACTAGGGATGTTTTTTAAGACTCTTCTACACTCCCAACCATACCCTGATAGCCTGCTTAACTGGGATTTATCATCTCTAGCATTTTAATAATTGTAGATGATACTTCTGAGTTACTGTGGGATGCTGTGGGAGGCTTGCTATGAAAGGATGTACCTTTCTTGAAAACCAACCAAACAAAATCTGGTAATACAGTTGTTTGTAAGGTGACTGTGGGAGTAGACCCCGGGACACATGCCTTCCATTCCCATTCCTTAATCACTGCACCACCATTCTTCTTACGGGCGTATGAGACTGGATCCTTGGATTGTTCTTACTTCTGTCAGGCATTTGGGACAGAAATATCACATACCCGATGCCCTTTAATGTGCTCTTGGATGAAAGTGCGTATTCTCTGAAATACAAGTTAATCAAGAACATAGTACTGTATAGTTGCAAAGCTACCCATACGACATGTGACCAGAGCCAGCTGTTCCAGAAGAGAAGAACTTTAATCTTTGTTTCAGTGAGAGTTGACCCTAGAACCTAATGATGGCAAGCAATATGATGCTCAGCATACATTAGTGCATGCCATTTTAAGGGGAAGGGAGGACGAAAAAAAGGGGTGGGATTAAGACCCAAAGAACATGGAACTTGAGTACAGCAGAGAAGGAGATGCTCAGGTAAAGGGAAGAAATGACAGAAACAGCAGTGTCCCAAACAAGTGTTTTTTTCCATGAGATGACAATAAAGTGCTGATCGGAGAGCTAAACATTTAGTTACAGGGCAGGAACTGTTCTTTGTAATGATTTCTGTTCAAGTCTCTTGTTGGCGTTGAAAGGAGACTCACTGAAGGAGAGCATTGAGCTCTGCATTTGTGCTCATACACCGCATTTGGGCATGGGGGTAATTTCTGGAGGAAGACAGCTTTTATCTTCTAACTCAGCTAGTCAAAATGGCAAGCAGGTCTTTTCCATTAGGGCAAGCCATCAAGAGGATTTTGAGGTGTGGTGGAGCACATGGTGGCTCTCATTCTGCGCACATGCAAGCATCCTTGCCAAAGCGCGTACACAGGCCACGAGCAGGCTCATGGCTCCTTACCAAGGCGTAAGCAGGGTTTGTGCACTGGGAGGCAGCAGCTGGGGGGAGGCACTCTGCAAAGCAAGGCTGCCCTGCAGTTTTGACATGGCCATCCTTTACAAACCTGGGGGAGAGCCAATGCACTGTCATTGCCCTTGGAGCGAGGGGACTTCTGTTCTTTTCCGCTTTGAGCCAGGCTTGCTCTGAGGCCCTCTGAGGTTTGGTTGTCTCTCCTGAGAATTTCAAGGCTCTAGCTCTCCCTCCAGCGGCAGGAAGCAGCTCCACACCCACTCGGAGCGACTTGCTGCTAGTACCAGGGCCAAAGCCATCTCCATTCCCTTTGTGTTTTCTCACTTATACCTGAAAAACTCAGACTGTGTCCTTGCTACCACAGAAGTGGGGACCTCCAAGGGTGGGCTTGAATTTGCTGTTAGCGGGAGTCCGCTCCTGCTGCCCAGTCGACTCCTGCCAGTGCCTGCTCGCTGCCTGCTGCGCTCGGAGCTGGATTGGCTGGGAGACCACTTCTGTGCCCAGTGTAGGATGGCCTTAATCAGCGTCAGCAATTACGCTTTTTATTTTTCCAAACACATGAGTTCATTTCAAGAGACCTGAGATTCATTTCTATAGTACGTCCCTGCACTGGACAGAATGAAGAGGAAGAAAATACCTTTCAGGCCCAATCTGTTTTCAGATAAACATTTCAATGCGGGTGTGTTAATCCTTTCTCTCCCAGACTTTAGTTTAATCCCTTTTCCCTGAACAAATAGGTGTCCTCTGGCAAGGAACTGATGTGTGGCTGTAAATAGGCAGTGTTTTTATTATCCAGTTAATCTCCATTTATTATCACACATTCAACAAACAGCAGACGCTCCCCTACTTGTTTGTCTGCTCACAGGAAGAAATTTTATCTTAGTCAGTGGATTATGGTAAAGGCTGAGTGAATCACTGTGCTGCAACACGGTCAGCCCTTTCAGGGTTATTCAAACAATGGGACTGACCAGCCAGCCAGATAAAATGTTTAATGCTCTAGATTGTCAGGATCATCAATTTAGTATTCATGTCTCTCCATAGCACTGCCTAAAGCCGGCCTTTAAATGGAGCTAGAGGTTACATCAATGTAGCAGATGGGCGTTGAGCGTGTGGTGGCTGCAATACACACCACGTTTTGAACTGTGAGGCTGAATTCAGGGTTCCTCTGAATCCCCGCGTCGCCATTTTTCAAATGTGATGCTTTGAGCTTTACCTAACAGGCTGAGGACATACCATACCTCGTTCTGTCAGGGTTATAAGCTGCAACCTACAATAATTGACTGCAGGCAGCAGGACCTTGAAGTGCCTTGTTCGTTTTCTCAGTTGCTGCACGTGTCTGAATGAACTTCTGCCCTTCCCTGGAATCCCTTTTGCTTCACATCCCTTGTGCTGCTGCATGGCTTTCTTCCCCAAATACCTTTCCTCTCCTGCCAGCCTCTTGCCCTGCTAGGGTCAGCTGCATCCATGCTCTGGCACACTGCATTTCTGTATTTTTATTTTTTTTTTCTTAACTGAAGCACAGCTTTGTATGTAACTGCCATTAACAATAAGTACTTGTGCAAGTGCTGCACTTGTGCTTGGTTCCACAATGTTACTGCATTGTTTTTTCCCAAGCTTCTGCTATGAGCGAGGGCTGGTCTTCCTCAAAACGGTCACTACTGATCAGCAGCACGTTCCTCCTGCCGATAGTCACGGCAGCTGCAGTTTACTTGGATGCCTGCTTTACCCAAAGCCATTATCTCTGTTTTTGCTGCCCTGGGTCCATGTCCCTGAATTTGCTGATGCCTGAGATGACATTTCCATTCTGTGCTGGATGCTGACTGAACATGATTTTTGTCTTGATCACTTGTGCCCCACATTTCTTCCCCAGTTGAGCAGCAGAAAGCATTACACGGCATTTTTCTGGCTCCTCTGCTTTGTGTTACTACTCGCTTTCCTAGAGGTTTGTTTACAGAGGTTGTCCTGGCAGAACAAGGGGAGGAGATTACCCAGCCTTGTACCCTGCAGCACGGCAAGTTTGAGGCCCTTGGTGAATATGTTTATTTGCACGGCTGCTCTCATAGTGATTTGGCTGCTAATTCTCACTTTTTCTTTGGAGGGAGTTCACGCGTTCCTACTTTTCTGCCACATGAAGTTTCACACTACTGCTAAGCTTGTCTTGACAAAATAAAAAGGAAAAATCCAGTGACAAAGAGTAGGAGATACTGCAGTGTAATAGATTATTGATGTCTTGGATTACTGTTATCATATAAGCAAACCCAGTAGTTATTTTAGTGCAAAGAATGGACTTCAAGGTAAGGCACTGTGTACGAAGAAAGAGAAAATTAAGATTGTTGAGAGAAGGACCTTCAGGAGCACAGACACCTGCCAGATTGCATTTGTTGTGCTGTTGGGGAGGGTGCTGAGTGGTCAGTGCTGCTGCTTGGAAAACGTGTGCGTATGGAAACCTTGCCTTGGTAGTGCTGCACGCTCACCTTCTAAGCAGCATGTCTGGGTATCTGTGTACCCCCTTGCCTTTGGGTAAAAATAAGCAAGCCTTTTGAAAGACGGCACTGTGCTGATGCTAGCAAATTGTCTCCCTATTGCTGTTGTATTCCTTTTCTGTTTAGTGAGACACATGTGCTACCAGGAGAGGGCAGTTGCCAGTTCTGGAGTATTCAGTAAGACAATGTACAGGCTAGCAGTTGTGAGGAAAAAGCCTGAAGATACTTTTTTTCACTGACACAAGTATCAAGGATCTTTTCTAGCACAGTAAATAGGGTGTTTGGATCTTAGTTATTACAAGGGCATGCAGTGATAGGACAAGGGGTAATGGCTTTAAACCGAAAGAGGGTAGATTTAGATTAGAGACAAGGAAGAAATTCTTCACTACGAGAGCAGTGAGGCACCAGAACAGGTTGCCCAGAGAAGCTGTGGATGCCCCATCCCTGGAAGTGTTCAAGGCCAGGTTGGATGGGGCTTTGAGCAACCTGGTATAGTGGAAGGTGTCCTTGCCCATGGCAGGGGGGGTTGGAACCAGTTAAGGTCCCTTCCAGCCCCAACCATTCTCTCATTCTATAAATCTTCGTCACTACAAGAGCTGGCTCTAGCTGCAGCCTCATCTACTGTTAATGTTTTCCTCTGGTGACAAGATTAGGATCAGTACATCACTGTAAGAACATACATTGGGCTGGTGTTAGGGGATCCGAGGTAAGAGCCCAATCTGAGGGCAGGTAGGATCTTTGGGAGGGTATATGTGGGAGGTACTTTTGTACACAGATCTTATTTTGGTCTTTAGAAGGCTGACTCAGAACTTGACAGAAAAAGTCTCTTCCCTTGGCCCAGCAGTGACAAGTATTTTTTTAGCAGCAGCAGCTGGCATTTCTTCTGCCTGTCAGTACACTGTGATATCTAAAGAAAATGCTCACAGGGTTTTCAGGCTCCTTAATTAATAATGGGGACAGCAAATAGGATAATTTCACCTTCATTATTAGAAATGAGTCTAGAACAATCCAGAAGGCTACTCTACAAAATTAATGCCAAAATAGCAGTCGGTGCAAGCTTGGGCTTAATGATGTATGCCTACCGGAATACACAGTGGCTGAGTTTTCAAGTGTATCTAAATGATTCAGCAACAAATGTTTGTGGACTTTTTTTTGTACTTCCTTTGTGGCCAAGTCTTCCAAGGGTACTGAGGCATGTACTGGTGCAGATGCATGCAGAAGGGTCCCTGAAAAATGTTAAAAGCTAGCGACTACATCATTTGGCAACCTCTGCCCTAAATACTGTAAAGAAACCTGCCCCCTTTCTTCATATAGTTTTGAAGTGTGAAGGTGATATATTATTTTATTCCTAATATTGTGACACTTTTTATTTTGTAGATTCAACCAGTTATTGATCAAGTCTTCTCTTTTTCTGAAGTTCCAAAAGCCTTTCTGAAATTGGAAGGAGGACATGCACGTGGAAAAACAGTGATCGATGTAATTAGTAAAAAATAAAGTATCTCTAATCGTTATTCTGCCCGCAGTCAGCCCTTTAGTGCTAAATTACACTTGAACATGAACTGGTATGTAGCAACTGTTTCTTCTTCAAAAGCTCATAGGGGATGGATAACTTTAAAAAGAAGTCTTGTTTTAGAAAAGCCTCTTTGATTCCTTCATTGCCTGCCCATTAATAACTGTTAATACACAGACAAGAAACACTAGTGTCCCTTTGGTGTTTCTACATGAAAACCATGTTACAAATGTAGTTGTGACTTTTGCAGAACACCCCTCACTCTTGGGATAAGAGTTTGTAGTCTTGGTGCTTTTATTTTTCCAGATGTTTTAGTCAAGTCCTGAAATGGTGAGGCACACGTTTATCTAATTGTCCATGTGAAACTCTGTTGGCCTTGCCTAGTTCTGTTCACCTTTATTAATATCTATTGTTACTCAATCTAGTTCCTTCTCAGAACCTGTAAACTTTTCCTGTATGCAGCAGTCACGTTGCTGTCTCAAGACCGGTACTTTAATCTCGATATGGCAAATCCCTCGTGGCATAACTAATCAGAGTAGAAGCATGGAATAAAAATCTGTAACTGATAATTACTCTAACTGCCTAATTCCTGGCACAGATTCAGCTGACTACAGTGTCCATGCGGGTAGGCTAGACATGATTTTGGCAGTCATCAGGAGACCCTGTTCCTTCCATGCCCCCTATTGCTGCCAGTGGCGATGAAGTGCTGGAGGGGTATGTGTCTCTTGGTCTGTTTATGATCTTACCATTTTGCCTGAGATGGGCTATGGCGTGACTTCCCCTGCAATTGTGCAGCTAGATCGAAGGGAAGTGGTAACCTTTTAATTGGGAACCGGACATTTACTGTGGTGCAGCTACAGTGATGGAAAAACCAAGTCATGGAGTGCTTGTGTCGGGGGACAGAAGCAGCAGCTGTGTGAACTGTGGCCCCGTGTACAAAATGCACTGAACACATGCTTGTATAGGAGAAGCACACATTCCTTAGAGCCTGCAGCTATTCCACACCATCCATTGACTCCTCATTAGCTGTTGCAGAGGAATTACAGACAGAGAAGGACACCAGGCAGAAGCAGAACTAACTAAAATGTCAGCTTTCTACCTTTAAAAATAATTTCAATAAAAAGTTACCTAACTTAAATTTATTTGTAAAATGCTATATTATATATAGCAAGAGCACATCAATATGACAAAGTACCACTGTTTGGAACCAATAACAACATGTTTTCTAGGAAGAACTAAAAGCAGCACATTTCAGAGCAACAAAACTTCAGAAGGTCTGTACAAAAGGAGGAAAATAAGTAAGGCACTTCCTCTAGGGTGGTAACAATAAAAGCACCAGTATCCTTTGAGGCAATACAATAGTAATGAAAATGTTAATTTTAAACAGACTTACTATGCAAGACAAAGGCCTGGATGCTCCTAGGAGCAGCTTGTAATAACACTGGTCTAGCCAGAACAAAACACAGCAGCATAGTACAAGACTTTGTATTTTACCTTTTTGCCAACATTATTACGAAAAGCTAACAAAACCAGGTTAAGAACAGGGCAACAGAAGAACCTCCTGCAGTCATTAGTATGTCTTACTTGTCACAAGCTCTTTACTAAACCGGCAGCGCTTACTTTGAACGGGCACAGTCCCTGTGACTGGGCAGGTATCCACGCCCCTCACTAGAGCTGTCTGACGCTCCTGCCCAGCCAGCAGCCCTCCACGGACATCGCTCTCCAACACCGCCAGAAATACTCGGGAGCCTGGCGTCCTCCACGGTAAGCCCAACAGGCAGTGGCTGAAAAGCTTCATAACCACGGCGCTTAGGTGCTGTTGCAGTTGTCTTTAATGATCTTTTCCTTAAGAATTCTTGTTTTCTATGTGATTTTGGAGTTCACGAAGACTACACTTACTGGATCTGTTTTAAAAGGTAAAAATTTGACTTGGCAAAGCAGTAAAATACCCATAACTCAAAGGGACAGGCAGCCTAGAAAATGGGCACGTTCTTCACATTCTGATGCATCCTTCTGCCAGCCCTCTCTTTCTGACAAACATCTACTGATTTCCATTGTCTCTACATGACAAAATCTAGAATCTTTTCTTAATTTAGAACTTACTATATTAGCATACTAACTATATTTGAAGCCACATGTTAAAAATTCTTTGGATGTGCTATGTGCTAGCAGTCTTTAAACCTTCAGTAAACATAAGTTTGTTCCAGTGAAACAAATATATTAATTTCCAGTATTGAGTATTTCTCTATACTACAACCCATAGGTCCAAGTTGCTATACCCACATACATACTGCACTTCTGTCCTTTATAAAATAAGCTTTAATTACTTTTTAGCCCTTCTCTCAAGTTAAAAAAAAAAACGCCTTTAAAAAATAATTTAAAATTATGCTTATCGACTGTCCTGGATTACCTACTCACTGACACAATCATAACTCCATGGGGTCTCTCCCACCTTTAGTTCTTCCACTCTAGCCCGAGGCATACTACCACTCTCTATCTCACACTGATCTGTGATGATTTAAAAAAAAAAAAAAAAAAAAAAAAAAAAAGGGTTGAGAGATACTCAAGCTTTTATAGGGATGATAATAATCTTAGACTGAGAGGTGAAATAATTCTATTGCTTGTTCTTTTTAAAATGGCAAAGAAAAGACAAAGCTCTCATTGTTGATCCCATGTCCTTCAGAGACAGCAGTGACAATTCTAGTGTCTGGAGTAGTGGCTGATTCAAACGTCATCTTTGTGTGTTTGGATTTATACAACTAGTGGTTCCCAACACTGCGTTAACTTGTCTTCGTTGACTGAGTTGACAACAACATGGTCGCGATCGTATTGTGCGCCCCCTGTTAAGAAAAATTTCAAAGACTGTAGATTATCTTCAAAGTAAAAGACACGTACTCTAGGTTTCAGGGCAACTCTACTAAGTGCTGGTGTAGACAGTTTCTTTTCTCCCCAAGGCCCTGAAAAGACAAACTTATTTTCATCGCTGCCTGCTTTTGGAATTAATTTTGAGACAAGGAAGCCTGCCTGCTCCTCTCCACCCTTTCAGAAATTCAGCACCTCGGCTTTTTCAGCCTGGATGGGAAAGGAAGGAAACACTGCAATACAGTCAGGTGTATCTCCTTTAAGGCTGTCACTTCCCAGAAGTCTAAATTGGCTGTTCAGTTTCCCCTCAACAGTTGTCAGTTGTCATTTTGCTCTAAAGATGATGTTTATATGATGAAATAAGTCCTGCTGCTAACAGACAACACGAGCATGACCACACCAGGGACAAGGTCTGGTACTCGTTTCCTCTTCGCCATTATCATCTCTTGTTTTGACCAGCTGCATCACCAGTCGCCATACACAGAATATCACCCTATGTTCAGCTGTTTCCATTGGCCTCTGAACACGCCTGAATGCAAAACATAACCTTTTCTTGGAGGGGCTTAATTTACTCCTGTGATGCAACGCTAAACGTGTTCCCATAGAAGAGCACCGTTAGTATTCTGACTGCAGAAACTCAGAAGCAAAAAACCATTCTACTAGAGCCAAAAGTCAGGACTGGCTTTTTTTCCCCTCAGACCTAGTACGTTCTGCAGAAGCGCAGGACACGCGCATCTTGTGCAGTACAACACACCCGCAGTAGCAGGCAGTATTCCCACTGGAAGCAGCCACCTGAGCCAACCATTTGTACAGAGCACCAGGACACTCCTACGGATACACTCATTCATTCTGCACCCCTGTAGCCTCACCCTCCCTGCATGAGCAGAAGGCAAGCCTGGCAGCCGAAAGCTTATGACGAACGTAACAAATAGAGATTCTAGCAGACCTCAGAAAGAAATATGCCAGGCACCTGGGGTCCTGCATAGGCAGGCACATTTAAGAGCAGCTCTTCTGTACTACGGAAATGCTGTCTCAAGCACCTTAGCTGTTCTCCGCTTCAGGAATTTGGGGAAGGCTTTCTGGTGCCACTGTGCCAAATCAGAAAGATCTCCGAGAAGGTTAACACCAACATGATTTCTCTCCTTACCATCACCAGGCAATTACTAAGAAGCAGTAGAAATACACAGCAGAAATACTTGCAAAGTTCTTCAGAAAGAGGGGAAAAAGAAGGGAATACCAGATCAAATACTCCCACGGGAAAACAACCCCAACCAGCAGCTAGAAAAAAAATAACATGAACTACACAGCTCAGTTATCACTGCAAACACAAAAAATATTTTTTAAGCACTGTCTGATAGAATGTAAACACGTTATAATGGGATAAGACGGAATTTTTTTCAGTGGAACAAGAGACTTATTTTGATAGAGCGGTGCTCTGGACAAAGCTTTGTGCTGTGCCGGTATATCCACAAGGTGGCATTGGTAACTGCACAGCTGAGCAACTGCATTCAGTTGCTGAAGAATTCATTGATGCTCAATTTGTGGTCAAGAATGGATCAGCAGAACTGGCAGAAACAGGTAACGTTCCTACTAGGCTTTCTCAAATAAAAGCTAAATGCACCTACTCTTTCGTGCTTACCACACAGATTAACTTTTTTTTTTTAAAACTAAGAGCCCATCTATACTTCCATCACCGCTCCTCTCCACTGTGAAGTTCTTCAATTATAAATGCAGAATATGTAATTGCTTTTAACATGATTAACTGAAGACAAGGCAGCGTAATAGCATTTCTGCTGGTTTGGGGCAACTTGGAACTGACTTTAGAAAAAGGTATGCAGAGTTACTATGACTAAAGATGCTCCCTTGAACTGGAGTCTTTTTGATAAGTTTATAATTAATACAAAATTACTACTCCCCCACTCAAAACAGCAGAGTTATGCAAGAGCATTGGATTATCCTAATCTGCTAATCATTCCATTTGTTGCTTTTTCAGACCATCTATGAAACTATGAAAACAAAGCTCGGAAACAGTATCTACATGAATCAAATTGCTGTGACAAAAGCAACTGTAAAACACGTATCAAGTGCACACAGACCTTATGCGGCTATGGCAGAATCTCATGTTTGCAGTAAAGGTATAGCCATTAATAAAGAAATGCAAAACGTTTTTGCATCTAATCACATCAGTGTACCAGCCTGCCTTTGCTTTCCTAATACGCTTTGGCTATTGCATCTACAAGTACTATGTACGAAAATGTGCTCTATACAAGTTAAAGTTAATGAGAAGCTAGGCTCTTCTTGCTTCAGCATTTTAAATAATTATATTCACATCACCCAGTGCCACGTAAAGTTAACTGAGGATTATCTATGGTGAGTGGACACTGGGAATACAAGATAAGCAAGTACTGTGAGTTACTAAACTCTATGTAGGAAAAAATGAAACAAAGTTCTAGGGCTTGTATAATTCAGGAGGTCAGACTAGCTAATTGGGTCCTTTCTGATTCTAGATTAAAGTAAGTATAATACCACCTTTAATTTATAGGCACGTTTAGTGCCTATCCCACTCTAAATACCATGTAATTAAGACACAATGTAATGAGATAACACATTTGCTTACCTTTGATATCTAAAACCAGCTTGGGTTTCATCTTGCTATAAATCCTGCCATCGGGACTAATATGCCAATATTGTTTGTCTTCATTCCGCTCAAATGACAGACCAAGTTTAGAGCCAGGAGTTATAAGATTTCCAACAATTGTCAAGCAGCAATCCTCCGCCATCTGTATCATCAGAAAGGCAACAGCAATTATTCAAAACGGCTTTACTTCCAGGATCCACTGGATTTTAATCAGACAGGAGAGATATCAGCAGGTGAGAACAGAGTCTAGGAACTACTTTCCCTAAAGGAATGTATTTTTGCCCCAAACTCCAGACTACTCATTTTCTTTTGTTCCTGTTTCTGCTGACATTCTCCGCTACATAAGAACATTAAAATAACCACTCTGTATCAGATCAAAAGGTACAATTAGCACCTGCCTCTAGCAGTGGCCAGTAACACATGCCGTGGAAGATTGCATTCACTCTCCTCCTGTATGCAGCATGTTCCTGGTAATCTGTCCCAGTCTACAGCAATTTCCAGCCCAGAGACTTTTCCATGCAGAGCTGGTACCTTTAATACTCAGATGGTTTCTGTCTCGTGTGAATTACTTAAGTCACTACCCACTGAGATCAATGTAACCCTTTTACATGAACACCCTTCTGTAGCATAAACCTTCTGTGGCAAGCAGTTCCAAATCTTAACTACTACTACTAAAAAAAAAAAATAAATTTGACAGGCAAGCACTGACTTTATTTGCTGCTCTCCTCACCCCTCCTTCCCCTCCCTTATTGTAAGGGACGTCTTGTCCACGCTATGTTTGCAGAGGCTTCAATCATATCATCCCTCAAACTGCCTCCTTTGCAGGCTAAAAAGTCCTAGCCATTTCATCTCTTCCTTGTATAGAAGCCCTCCACCTCCTCTGCGCATCCTTTTTTCTTTAATCTTTTCTAGTTCTGCAATAACCTTTTGAGATAAAGGATGTAACTGCACGGTATTGAGTGTATGAATTTCACAGTGTATCACAATAACATTTTCTTCTTTTTCCTGTATTCTTTTCCTAGCTATTTGTATTACTCGATTTCAAAACTCTGCAAATTTCTTCATGGTTAAAAAAAGAACTGTCAAAGATCAAGCTTACTTGAAAAGAATATTAAGGCTGTATTAGTAGTACATTACAGTTAATTATTCTGTGTGAACAGTGATTTTCAGCAGATCACCATAAGCCACCTTGTAACTTCTGAATGGACTTCAGTGGCAGATTAAACGAACACCCATCTGCCACTGTTGATATGGCCCTAAGTTACTGAATACACAGTTCTGAATAAGTATTACTACTTACTACCATAACCTGGAACTGAAGTAAGTCGATTTAGTTCTGCAGTTCTGAAATTCTCAGCTGTATCTAAAAAGTGTTCTCTAGTGGGACTTGGAAGACTCAAAGCTTACGCATCAGTTCCACTAGGCCACTACTTCATCCGTCTCCAAGAAACTCGTGAAGAGTGAGGAGACCCGGGTTCATATCTGCT